TTTTTTTTTTTTTTTTTTTTTTTTGTTGATGACTGCTGCGGACAGAGCAGTATTTTAAAGCTAAAGGTCTGAAACTGTGAAATAGGATTTACGTGAAAAAGGAAATCAGGAATTTTCTAAGTCATCAGGAAGATAATGGTGTCAGAAAAGATGTGAAGTTTTTGATAATTCAAAAACACTTTGGGTTTCTCAATACTAGTATTGGGTGGTATCAGAGATGGAACAAATTTAACAAACATTCATTTTAAGTTTTCTAAAGGTACTAAGAATGTTTGACTCATTTTTTCTTGTTTGACAGGAGTATCAGTAGAAATGAAAGGATGGGCAGTTTAAAAGGGTTGTAGGTAGTTTTGGGTCTAGGAGTCACATGAAGGATTGCTTCAGTCATAGGATGTTCGAAAAGTGTCTATAGAATTGATTAATCACACTAGTTTAAATCAATAGCTGTCTGAGTTTAGTTTAGGTTTTAGCCAGTTGTGTAGGAAATTCTTTTTGTTGTTCTTCTGCATTTCTATACGTGACGTCATTTGATAAAGGGGTTGATCGTCATTATCTCTGCTTCGATAGAATTATTTTTCTGACATTATTTCCTCTCTGACATCTGTTTTTGATTCAAAAAAAAAGTTATCTTGGAAAGTCGTTACGTAATATTCTTTTTTTTTTTTGAGGGTTGAAGCTGATAGTTAATAATGGCATTCAGGTTTCAGAGCATTCTCTGCAAATATTGGAAGTGGGATGTGGGGTGGGGAATACTGTGTTCCCTTTGCTGAACAATACGAAATCTGGTCACCTCTTTGTTCACTGTTGCGATTACTCGTCTAAAGCTATTGAAATCTTGAAGCAGAACGCAAATTATAATGAAGATGTTTGCCATGCTTTTGTATGGGATATATCAAAAAAAACAACTGACGAAATTCCTGATGAATCGCTTGATATTATTCTGTGCATTTATGTTATCTCTGCTATTCCGCCGGGATTGCATAATAAGGCTCTGCAAAACTTGTGCAGGTTCTTTTTCTGATAGGTTTATCTACTATCGCTTTTGCAAAAATTCATTTTTTAATTGTTGAGTTCTGAAGGTTGAACGGTGCATTTTTTGGAACAGCTGTCTTTAAGCGTGTTAAAAAAATTAACTGATTAACAGGACAGGTTTTTTTAGACTGTCAGACTTTTTTTAGGCTGTTAAAGCCAGGCGGTCTTCTTCTCTTTAAAGATTACGGTCAGTATGATTTAACGCAGTTACGATTCAAGAAAGACCGCATGATAGACGACAATCTGTATTGTCGCGGGGATGGAACACTGGTAACTTATTTTACCCAGGAAGAACTCGATAAATTATTTACGTCTTGTGGTCTGGTGAGGATTCTGAACATCGTAGATCGTCGACTCATTGTTAATAGAGCTAAGCGGTTGAAAATGTATCGGGCTTGGATACAGTGCAAATATCAGAAATTGGATCATTGATGTTAACCAGTGAAAATTAAAATAAAATTATGGATCTTAGAAATTCGAAAGGTAAACATTTGTTGGAAAGTTAAGTTTTTGTATAAGGGAATGATTATGAGAAATTGTTATTTTTTTCTCTTTAGTACATAGATATTTTTTTCTTCTTCTAAATGTTCAAATTTCTTTCCAGCAGTGGTAGATCTGTTGCTTGCGGGCTTGTCGTCTTCTCAGTCCAATGGGAACTTCTGCCCTGATTCAGTTGAGGATGTTGCATAAACGGTTGATAAAGTTGCATATCACTTGAAGTTGCTCAGAGTTAAATAAGGAGCTTTTTGTTTTTGTTTAGGTAGTTGTTAACAGTAAATTCTTCAAGCTAACTGTTTGTGTAATTTCGGTCGATTATTATTATCCATTATTATTTTTTGAATTTCTTAAAATTTTTTTAACTTTTTGTTGTTATTGTTGTTGTTTCTGTTGGTATTTTTGTTAAAATCATAAATACCCATTAGTGTCCTGCCTTGGTTGAAATAGGCGCAGAACCGCAATATTGAAAAATTAGTTTCATTGGTTTTCCTAGTAGATCACGATAACTTTATACTTTTTAGAAATTTATTTGTTGGAGGCTAGAAAGGTGGAATTAACAAGGCGAAAGAAATGGGTGTTTTTTTTTTTTAGTCGGGTTTAGCGAAACAGTATGCGTCGTTCTGTGACGTCTTGAAGTCTTAAAA